GTTTCTTGAGTGTGGGAATGAGTAGGTCTCTGATTCTTGTGCCTTCTCTTGGGCTCATTTTCTTTTGTTGGTTTGCCTTGTCCAACTTCTATGCGATAATTTTATCTTATTTTATTTTGTTATATATAAAAATGTAATGAGTGAATGAATGGAAACCTAGTCACTAGGGTAAGGTTAACAACTGAGCTATCATTTATACCTGCTGGGAGAGGGAAAATCAGTTTTCTCCAATGGAGTGACACTGGGTATATGAGTAACACTCAAGGGAAAGCCACATGTTCATGTGTCAACCATTCCAGGACAGGCCTCGTGTTCTTCCAATCCGGGACGGGTCTCATGTTCTTCCACTCTGGGACAGGTCTCATGTTCTTTCAATCTGGGACGGGTCTCATGTTCTTTCATTTGGTTGCAGTTCAGTTGTTTTTCTTTTTCCCTTTCTTTTCTTTTTGGGTGATGTTTCTATTTTGTTTTCTTGGTTTTAGGGAGTTTTGTTGTTGTATTGGGATTTTGTTTGCTTTTTGAGGAAGAAAAAAAAAGTTGGGTGGGTAGGGAGAGGGTCTGGAAGGAATATGGTCAAAATATATTTAAAGTTAAAATTTGTTTTAAAAATAAAAATATAATAACAAAAAGAAAAAAATTAAAAAAGAGTTTTAAAGAGAAAGACAAAAGAGGCAGGAAGCTATTTTTATCACATAATATCTGGAATGAATACAATCAACAAGCATCCATGCTGATACTGACTGTGATCACCGGCTGAAACAGCATCTATCAAATTTCTTCTTTGAAAAGTTGCTTTTCCCATACTGTACCCCGGAAAGAAGTTCCCACACAGGCTTAGCATCAGAGAATGGAGCACCCTGCTCCTGCCTTCTCCATGACAGAGCATCTACATGATTATTCAGAATGCTTCTGTACTGACAAGTTGCCTGCAGCAATTTTAAAAACGTATAATGAAACCTAATTATCAAGTTATTTTACATGATTATGATTTCCTGACCCTAAGAAAGCATTGCCTACTTAATCAGGTTGTTTTGCTTGCCTGTATCGTCTGGTTCTTCTGCAATAAGGACTTTGCTTCATATACTGAGAAACCAATTAGATGACAAAACTCTGTAATTTTAAAGATGTATTTTAATTCTTACGTTTTTGAAGTTTTATTTTACTACATTTTATTTATTTGTGGGGTAGGAGGAGGGAGATGTCACATACTACCGAGCACTTATAAAAGTCAGAAGGCAACAACGGACTTGGTTCTCTCCTTCAACCAGACGTGTTCTGGGAACCCAGCTCAGGTCATTGGACTTGAAAGAGCCTTTACTCACTAAACCATCTTACCAGTGGTTTATTTAGTGCTAATTAAAATTTACACAAGCCAGCCCTATTGGTTTGGCAATGTCTTCACAAATCAAAATTTAAAAAAAAAAACAGTTTTAAAATCAAATTGCCATATGCCAAGAATCGGTGACAAATTTGAAGATCGGCACTATTTGTTCCGATGGAAACTCCAGGTTAAAGTCAAGAAAAGAAAATGGCTTTAGAGTTGGACCATCCTCATCTGTCTTTTGTCAACCAGGTATCTGAATTAGAAAACATAGTAAGCAGTTATAAACATGATTCTAAATAGAAAGAAAATCTGAGGTGCATATAATAAAGAATTAATGACTTAGCCAGGCTTGGTAGCATAGGCCTGTAATCCCAGCTATGCCAGAGGCTGAAGCAGGAGGATTGTAATTTAAGGCTTACCTTGGCTACAGACTTAAACTCAAAGTTATCACTGGCAACTTAGTAAGAATTTATCTCAAAATCAAAGCACAAAGGGAACTGGGATGTGGTTCGGTGACAAATCAGGTGCATAGCATGCACAAGGCCCCGGGTTCAATCCCCAGGCCTTAAAACAAAGCTACGTCTGGTGGCACAGGCTTGTGATTTCAACTTCTCAGGAGGCTGAGGCAGGAAGACCACAGGTTCAAATCCTGACAGGCCATTTGAATGAGACCCTATCTCAAAATAAAGCATTCAAAAGGCAAAACGGACTAGGAATATAGCTCAGCGGTAGAGTGCTTGCTTCGTATACATGAGGCACTGGGCTCAAATACCTTGGAAATGGATTGTATCACTCAAAGCAGAAAGAATAGAAGCCTGAGCTGGAAGATAGTGGTGCACGCCTTTCATCTCAGCACCCGGGAGGCAGAGGCAGGCAGGTCTCTGAGTCTGAGACCAGCATGCGTCTACAGAGTGAGTTCCAGGACAGCCAGGGTACACAGAGAAACCCTGTTTTGAAAAACCAAACAAACAAATATTTTTAAAAGAGGAAGGAAGGAAGCCTAAAGTCCAAATTGTTTTCTTTCTTTTCTATTGACACATGGTCTTACTATGTAACCCAGGTCTAACCTCCAGCTCCCTGTGTAGGGAGGCTAGCCTCCTATGCACATCCTCTTGCTTTAGCATCCTGGGGGCTATGGTTCCAGGCAGCATCCATCTCTACTGGCACAACTGGTTATTTTTTTTTTTTTTTTGCTTTGTTTGTTGTTCTCTCCCTACGAGGTGAATGATATCTTCCTTCACATACTCCCACTACTGTGCTATTCTGACTCACCCTGTGTCCAGAATCAACAGAGCCAAGGACCAGTAGCTATAATAAGTCTTTGCTCCTTGGGGCTGTTCTTTTAGGTAATTAATTTGGTTTCAGACAGACAAATGTGACTAAAATATTCCTTTCCTCCTGTGCAAAACACAAAACTCTTCAAAGATGAGTGACCATTTTGCAATCAAAAGGATAAACATAGACCTGAAAAGATGGCAAAACGAGCAGTTCTAAGGGTTCTCTTGAGTATTTGGAAGGCAAGCCTGGCTAGTCAGCAAAGCAGTGGTAGCAAATTTCCCATTAGGGCCCATGACTTCTCCAACTAAAGGCTCTTGACCAGTTTTACAGAACTAGGCATGAATTCCCACTGCAAATAAATAAATAATATATAAATAACAACTTTCTTCTCCCATCATCTCCCTACTTTCTCTAGTTCTGGGGGTTTACTACAATAGGACCTCATACACACGAAGCAAATATTCTAGCTGTACCCTTGTTTATTTTGTTGTCTTGAGACAAGGTTTCACTGACTGGACCTCAGTCTGTCGCTTAAGCAGGTTTTGAACTTGGTAATCCTTCTGCCTCCTGTGAAGTTGGGATTCCAGGCCTGTACCACTAGACCAGGTCATTTCTTTTCTTTTTCTTTGCTCTGTACTTGCTCATAGTGGAAAGAAAGAAATCTAGAGGAGCTGGAGCCATAGGACAACTTATATCTTCTGGTTTAGTGGTTTCAGTAGGTCTCCCTCCTTAGAGAAGCACTGACTATCTCGGCAGGTTCTTGGGACGTGCTGTGGGGAATAAAAGTTGCCATGCTTAACAAGCTCAGAGAAAAATGTATGCTGTGTTCTAATGTGGTTTTTGCCTTCAAAACTTACACTCAATTTTCTTTGCAATATAAAAGTGTTGAAAGGTGGTAGTATCTTTAAGGGATGATTAGGTCATTAAAAGGGAATGACTTAATTTTAAAGCAGCTGGCTTTATTAACTTGAGAGCATATTGCTATAAAGCTAGGCTTCTTTTTCTGCTTTGCATTGTTATGCCTCTGCTTGTCCTCATATTTTGTTTCAGAAGTAGCAGCAGCCCAGCTCCTTTGTTAGTGTCACACTCTAAGCCAAACCGAACCCTTTCTTTATAATTTCCCAGTCTCGTATATATGCATAGCCCCTTCTTCGTTGGAATTCACAACAATGGGCATTATGAGATTTATGATTCTTAATAAATCTTGCAGTGAAGAGACGTGTTTACAATTGTTTAACTCAAACACTTAAAAGCATAGTAGCACCTATTACTCTCCTGGAAAAAGTTCTTTGGGAAGTTTCATTAGAAAAAAGGGATAAAGACAATAACTTTTTTTCAAAAGTCAAACCATAATACCTTAAACTGTCAGAAATCAAAAATAATGACTACCCTCTGGAAAGGAATCTCCCCGAAACCAGAATGATACCTTATTGCTGTTGGAAGTAGAAGGCTATTGTGTAATAAAAAGTGTGATTTACAATGAGCACTAAGCTAAATATCATTGAGAATAACACAAATTGAGCAGATGCCATCACCCTGGTGCTCCGCTTAGCTTCTCTCCTGAGTTTCCCAAACACATCGAATTGTTTTTCTTCTCTTGAATAGATCCAAGAACATGATTAGGACCCCAATAGTACAGAATTAATGGTGATAATCAGTCAACCCCCAAGAAGTACTTCATCTTCTTCCTCTTAGAGAGTCGCTATCTTTTAATAATCTACACTTTCGCTCAAGGACGAATCATTTGTCTTTGTCCCATTTTGTAACCCAAATACATTGTCTCTGGCACCAAACACACCAAGGTCCCTTATAGATATGCCAGCTCTTTAGTTGCACTCAAATACTTTTTCAAAACTTTCTTTTGGTGAGAAACTACACCTCAACTCATGCTGGAAATTTCAGCCTACAGACTATTCAGTGGATTCTTCTGAAGACTGTGCAAATAAGTAGGGAACTTAGAAACCAAAGGTGAAAGAGGACTATACAAAGCATGAAGAAAACTTATTTAAGGCCAGATATGGTGGCGCATGCCTTTAATCCCAGCATTCAAGAGGCAGAAGTCCACACTCAGCCTGCTCTACATATTGAGTTCCAGAACAGCCAAGACCACATAGTAAGATCCCATCTCAAAAAATTAAATAAATAGAAATGACTAAATAATAAATTTGGAGATGAAGACATGGGCTGGTGGTTGAGTGTGTACTGCTCTTTCAGAGGACCCTAAGTTCAGTTCCCAGAACCCATGTGAGGCAGTTCAAAACCATCCCAGCTCCAGGAGGATCCAATGATGCCTCTTGCCTCTAGGGGCATCTGCGTTCATAGGTATACACACACACACACACACACACACACACACACACACACACACACACACCAGGAGGCATATATATACACAGAATTAAATTTTTTAAAAGAAAATTTATTTAAGAATGATCTCTTTAATCGATGTCACTGACTAATGTTCTGGGTGCACAAATACAAACTGGCAGAGAATAAAGTGTTTTTATTTTTAGTTCTGAGTTTCTTAGACTTCCTCCATTCTCTTGTGCACTTAACACAACTGTTTATTTTCTTAACCTTTTTAATTCAAATCTTTTTAAAATTAGTAATAAATCTCTCTTTTGAAAACTCCCTTGATGCCAGAAGTGGGATCTGCTTCCTTCCAGCTCATCACTGGTGTTAGCCTTCAGTGAGCAGCTTTTAGCCTTCCGGCTCCCACAAGGGCTTATTTTTGTCAAGCTCTTATATATCACTTCTAGGCAGAGCGAGATCAAAATCTAGACCTTGGGATGCTCATCTGGTTTTGTTAAAGTTGAAAACTATTGAAAGGGGGTCTCACCAACAGGAACTGCAAGTGATGCTCTTCATTCGCTATAATGCATGGATTCTTCATCACAGCCCTGCCAACTAGGCATTCCTACCCTAATTTAGCAATGAGAAAACTGAAGCGCCAAGAGATCAGCTAACTTTGCCTAGTCAGCTAGAAATGATAGCATGAAGGATATAAACTATGGGAAAAGCGGAAAGGTCAGCTTTAGCACCTCTCCTCTCATTCAGGCTAGCTTTATACACGGGCCAAGGAACCCACACAGCAAAATATGAGAGAGTCTGGATAGACTACTTCCACTCCAAACATTTTTTTAAATACTCAGCCCTGCTGTTCCAGAAGTCATTTTGGCTCTTTAATTCTTTGAGATTCATGTAAGCATCTTAAAGTGGACAGTATCCAGGAAGAGAAACAACAAACTGAATTGCTAGCATGTAATCATACTTTAAATATTTATTAAGCACCGTTTATTAAACAAATAGAATGAGATGATAACAGCTACTTATATTTGCTTAGCACTTTAGCTCTGCACAGCCTCACTGTAACCTGAAGTATTACACAAAACTGAGATTACGATCTCCATTTCATAGATGATGAAATTATGGCTCAAAGAATTTGAATGACTCATCTAAGGTGACACACTTGAGTCCCATTTCCAGATTCAAGGCTCAAACTTGGGTGTCCTGATCCCAAGTCTTGTGTTCTTTCCTTTATAATACATTAACTCAAGGGGTTTATAGGTGGGATACACAAGCCAAGAATGCATGAAGAATTAACTGATAATTCAAAATAGTGTCCGTGATGTCAAGAAATGGTAAAGGTGCTAACTGACTGCTGTGGACAGTAATTACAGAAGACAACATCAGGAAGATCACTGTTGGTTAAGGATCAACAGAGAAAGTCTCTGAGACCTAAGCCTGGCCCATGGGAAAAAAGTTTAAAAAAGGACAACTTGGGGGGTGGTATTTCAGTAAAGAGAACAGAAACAATGAAAGTCCAGAGGTAAGAAAGTGCAAGTATTGTCCAGAGAGAGAAAACAAGAGACCTGTTTACCTAGAGAAATTTAGAAACATAGCTCAATTGCAAGACCGTGGGCTCTGTCCCAAGATACACACACACACACACACACACACACACACACACACACACACACACCAAACAATCAAACACAAAAACCTAGAGAAGAGACATTTGTATTGAGGGAGAATAGAAGATTTATAAAACCTTCTTGAATTTCTGCCTAAATTATTTTCACTTGTAGACAATAAAAAATCATCAAAGACTTTGAGAGAAGTGTTGGACAGATTGAGCTGACAATGTGCATTTGTGTAAAAGGAGGCAGGAGGTAAGGACTATCCAGAAACCTATGACATTCAGTCAGGGAGAACATGAAAAGAGTCAGTATTAGAAGGGTAGCATTGGGACCATAAAAGAAGGCCAACTACAACTGGCAAAAAAAAAAAAAAAAAGCAATGTCAGAACTTGGAGATAGGAAGAGAAAAGAATGAATTTTCCCAGAAGCTTTAGAGCCTAGGTAATTTAAGAAAGATGTCATGAATAGAAATGAGCAAGACGAGTAGGGGAACTGGTTCAGGTGGTTTCGTTTTGTATATTATGGGTTAGAAGCAACAGTGGAAGATCTAAGTGAACCTGTCCAATAGGCAGTTGAGGTTTAGAGGGACAAAGGTCTGGCCTAACACCAAGCTGGCATGGGAGAATGAAAGGAGTCGTGGGAACCCAGTCCAGGGTCTAGTTTCTTCCTGCCATTGTGTAGAAAGTAAGTCACAGGCATGACACCTCACTGGGTCTGTTTCTTCAACTGGAAAATGAAGGGGAACCCAAGCCCTGTGTGACCTGTGAGGTTTTCTCAATGACCAGAAGTCAACTAAATCATATCATAGCCACCTGCTATTTGTTCTCTCCAAGAGGATCTCAACAATCTGAGAAGCGAGAAAAGATTAGCTAACCCCCACATGTTGAGAGTCAGACAAGAAGATGACAGCAAAGAGAGAAGGAATGAAGGAAAAGCAGGAGGAAAGAGACTCTAAATCCAGGGAAGGGAATAAGGACATAAAGCATTATAATAAATGAATTAAATATGTCAAATATGACCAATGATAATACACATATTAAATAATTATCACATTTCAATAGAAGCTTACCACTAAAATAGCTGAAGAATGATGCGAATAATAAGCACAAGAGAAAGTGTTCAGTGCCATAAGGAGGCAAAGAAGTGAAATTAACAAATTGAATGTTTACCATCCAGAAAGATTTCCTATAAAGTCTGATGCTGGAACTGCAGTGGAACGAGGATAGCCGTATATCATTGTGACAGTAAAAATTTATGCAGTCATTTTGAAAAATCACAATCCGTACAAATGTTCATGCTCTTTGGTCTGGTAATCTTGCTCCTGAGAACTTGTACTAGACTCAACACAGAATTGCCAAGAAGAAAAAAAGCCACAAACAGGAAGATAGTCAAAGCACAGAAAAATTGAGCTACCTAAATGTTCAATAGCAAGGGAGAGTCTAATAAGATATAATCTACCAATGGGAGTAGTTTTATATAGCTATTGAAATAATAAGCATGAAAGACTGCATCGACACGGGAAAGGAGAGAGTTTAAAATAAGAGATTATACTTCTTTGTTTTGAGATAGGGTCTCACTACATAGCCTAGATTGACTTCAAACTTATGACCCTCTTGTCTCCACTATCAGCTCTTGGGATTATAGTCTACCATACCATAATACCCTAAAAACAGACTTTTATACACCGTGGTTACACTTCTACAGTACATGAATACAAATCAAGAAAACATGAAGTATGAAAAGTGAAAATAGGGGTTTGAAATAGGTGAATCTTTTCTCTCCACATCTCCTTCAGTGTTGTCACAGTGAGATCTTTTAAGTGTTATTTTTATGGTTTTTTTTGTTTTTTTTTGTTTTTTGTTTTTTGAAACAGGGTTTCTCTGTGGCTTTGGAGCCTGTCCTGGAACTAGCTCTGTAGACCAGGCTGGTCTCGAACTCACAAAGATCCGCCTGCCTCTGCCTCCCGAGTGCTGGGATTAAAGGCGTGCGCCACCATCGCCCGGCTATTTTTATGTTTTAAACAACTATAAAACACATGCAACAGAGTCAAGTGAAGTAGAGAGGTCAAAGATGGATAAAAGTAATATATATATATATATATGTGTGTGTGTGTGTGTGTGTATTGACATATGTGTGTGTGTGTGTCATTAAAATTCTTGCCAAAGATGTAATTTGTGTTCTGAGAGCAGCAGAGCGGGAGGCAATGCAGCTCAGAGAGTTTGGAGCAATTCCGTGAGTAAGAGGGGTGTAGAGCTCTCTTCCTGGAAATGCAGTGCTGGAATTGAGCAGAGACAAACGGAAGAGCAGCAAGATGAGACGGCAAGGTTAAGGTATGAGTGCTTATGGCTTTTTTGAATGATATAAAATCAGTGTAAAGTATAAAATCAGTAGTGGAAATAACTAAAAAAGACAAAGAAAAATAAACAAAGTCTTGGTGGCATACGTCTTTAATCCCATCACTCAGAGAGGCAAAAAGGCAGGCGGATCTCTGAGTTCAAAGCCACCCAGGTCTCTGTAGCTAGTTCTATGCTAGATAGAGGTACATAGTAGCAGTCGTAAAGTCCAGGAAGTTAGTCTTGACTAAGCAGCTTGGAGTTATGGGGCCTGACAATGGAGGAGCTTGAAGAGAATAATCTTAGGTAGGACAGGTGACAGGCAAGGGGGCTGTGGCCTTAGGAGTGGGAACCTGGCGAGAATTAAAAAAAAAAAAAAGAGGTCAATAATTTACTACTAATAGAAGAACTCTTGCGTTCCAGGGGAGAGAATCCCTGTAAAGCCTGGAAAGGAGGGCAGAGGGGCATGAAGATTAAGCTGCCTTACTCTGCAGCCTAGCACCTCCCTCCCCTACTATCCAGAGACAGAGAGAACACGTAGAAGCCAATCAGAACTTGGTATCAGTAGATGAGTAGGAGACCAGAGAGGGCAGCAAAGGCTGGGGTCTGACTCAGAAGACCCATAGGCCCTAAGGTGATTTCCTAGGAAAAGAGGCTGAAAATAGATTTCCCTTCTCATCAAAGCCCGCCCAGAAACTCTTAACTCTCAGGCTCGGGATTGAGTTCCCTCGGCTCCATACACCCACCAGGTCCAGAAACTCTTAACTCTCAGGCTCGGGATTGAGTTCCCTCGGCTCCGTACACCCACCAGGTCCTCCTAGCTCATTAGGTGCTGTGGCAAGAGGATTGAACAGGTGCAAGACCGAATGCCCCACCCTGGCCTTGAAATCCTACAGCCCGATTCCAAACGAGCTGGTGACAGGTTTATCCTTTATCTAACTAGAGCTAGAGAAAGGGGAGAGACCAGTCAAGAGCCAGTTCTGGGCGTCTACTCCTGTCACCGCCCTATCCTTTGCACAAACCTGCTCTGCCCATCAGTTCTAGAACTTGGAGCTTCTTCCCTCTCAGTCAGAGCTGTCCACTCTTCCTTTTATTAAACATATGGGAGCTACCAAATACATTCTCCACAGTCCCAGAGGTGGGTCTAGTCTCGTTCTTGTTCCCAAGGTTGCTGTCAACCTGGACTCTGCCTCCGGAAGCTCTACAGGGTCGTCCCTCAAGGGCTGTACTCTACCTCATGGCTGCTCAGCAGCTCAACAGCACCAAGCTCTAGCTGCTGGTGGCGCTCTGCCAGGCGGGTTTGGAGGTCTTGTATACTATTTCAGCACCTTGGCAGTTAAGACCAGCTTGTCTTTGAGAGGGCGCCAGGAAGTGGGTGTGGATGCTACCTATGGCAAATATGTCATCTGTGATAGCTAGCACCCCAGCTTCCTGATTCTGACTTGTTCCATTATATACATCAGGCCAGTCTTGAGATCGCTCCACCCTTCACCCCTCTGGCTGAATTCTCTACTCTGGTTGGAGAAAGGCAAGCTGTGGAAGGACCCGGGGAAGCAGAAAGGGCAAAGAGCACTGAGGAAGTTTTGCGGGTTCTAGAAATCGAATCAGGGGCCCCAGGAAAGGACAGAAAAGCAGAAAAAGTAGAGACGGAGGAGTAACTGCCCCAAAGGTGGACTGAAAAGAAGGCAGCCGCTCGTCGGGTGTCAGTAACAGGCTCCCTTCCCTCCGTCCTGCAGTTACCGCCATTCCTTTCATAGCCCGTGTCCAGGGTTATAATCTGTCTCCCCCATAGGTAGGGAAGATGACGTCCTGGTGGGTGTCTGCCCACCTGCTGCTTTCCTCATGCAGGGTCACCAATGCCAGGGAGGAGGCCATAGTCCGAGGCTGGGGCCCTGTACCTCTGCATAGCCGCTGGAGCTGGCGTCGATACTTGTCCCCGGTGAACAGATAGAGCACTGGATCCAGACAGCTATTAGCACTGGCCAGGGGCCGGGTCACTTTGTAGACCACGTTGACCGTGTTCAGCACCTGGCAGTCAGCTTTCAATAGCCTTGCCAGGTAGTAGACTGTGCGGGTGATGTGGAACGGTACAAAGCAGACAGCAAAGACAGTCAGCACGACAGCAATGGTGCGGAGCGTGCGGAGCCGAGACGATGACTGTCCGGCTCCCGGCAAAGGGCGATACAGTCGTCGGGCCATGAGTCCGTAGCAGACCAGGGTGACCAAGAAGGGCAAGCCAAAGAGCAGCACCATGATTGCCGAACTGAAGTGTACATAGTGGTCAAACTCCTCAGGCCGGGTGGTGTCATGGCACAGGATGGTGGTCCCACTGGGGCTGGTTGTCACAAAGAACAGGTTGGGCACGAGGCAGCCAGCTACTACCAGCCACACAGCTAGGCAGAGAAGGCTTGCAAATCGCGGGCGGCCCCAGCGGAGCGCCCGCAGAGGGTGACAGATGCCCAGGTAGCGGTGCACGCTGATGCAGGTGAGGAAAAGGACACTGCAGTAGAGGTTCCAATAGAAGAGAAAGCGGACAAACTTGCAGAAGGCAGTGCCAAAGGGCCAGTGGTTTCGGGCAGCATAGTAGTACACGAGGGTGGGCAGTGACAGCACATACAAAGTGTCTGACAATGCCAAATGGAACATGTAAGTGGCTGTTGCATCCCAGGGTCGAAGGCGGAAGAGGAACAGCCAGAGGGTTGGGGCATTGAGCGCTAGGCCCAGCACAAAGACAACCGCATAGCTCACAGGCAACAGGATGAACTTGAACTCTTCATTAAAGGTACAGCGTCCATCTCCAGAACTTTGGCTGGGGCCTAAAGATGTAAATAGCAAGGATTCTGAACTGGTCATGGCCCCCTAGAGGTAGAAAGGACAGAAGTGAATGTCTGATTTCCCTAGTTTCCCAGTCCTGACCAACCTGCAACAAAAGAGGAAAAGCAGCAAGGAGAGCGAGGAGGATCAGATCCAAGAGCAATCCAGGCTGGCCTAGCCCTTACCCAGCTCTTCCCCAGCTCCCTGAGCCCAGTCACTACCCTGCTGCCTTAGCCCAGCCTCTACCCAGTTCCCTTAACCCAGCCTCTACCCAGTTCCCTAAGCCCAGCCCCTACCCAGCTCCCTTAGCCCAGCCCCTACCCAGCTCCCTTAGCCCAGCCCCTACCCAGTTCCTTTAGCCCAGCCTCTACCCAGCTCCTTTAGCCCAGCCTCTACCCAGCTCCCTTAGCCCAGCCCCTACCCAGCTCCCTTAGTCCAGCCTCTACCCAGCTCCCTTAGTTCAACCCCTACCCAGCTCCCGTAGCCCAGCTCCTACCCAGCTCCAGTAGCCCAGCCCAGGGACTGATGGGCATCAGGCAGTGCAGGGACTCGGACAGGCAGTCAGTGGTGTTCTGCAGCTTCCTCTCCTGCAGAGCCTGGCTAGCTGAAGAGGGTGGAGGCTGACCAGCAACATCTAAAGGGAAGATACCCAGGCTCGAATTATCATCTAACTCCCCATCAAAGCTCTGTCCTAGTAACTGAGGGACTCTCTCCCTCTCCTCTCACCCTGGTCCTAGTTCTCTGTACTCTTATTTCCCTCTGAAGCCACCCGACTTCACACCTGCTTCCAGCCCAGCGGCACTACCTCCACCACCCTTGCCTTAGCAAGACTCCTACCCAGTGCCCTTGAAGCTGAGCCCAGCTGACTCTGTCACCCTCCCTCTTGGCAGCCAGAGGGCATATTCTTGGGGGTGGGACTCGGAGTGGCGCTTATCCCTCCTCCTGTCCCATCCCAGCAGATTGTCAGAGCTAGAAAAGCTCTTGGAGGTTATCTAGTCCAACCCACTCAGCATGCAGATTGGGAAACTGGGACCCAGTGAGATTACTATTTAACAGCTTCACAATGATTGTGTACACAAGGAGACATCCACGTTTACAGATAAAGAGCCAGGCCACTGAAGATAATTAAATTACAGGAAGATCATATAAGTTTATGGGCATAGAGACATGGGAAATGAATTTTAACATGGACAACAGCAAGTCAACACACTAAAGGACTTTTGAAAATGTAAACTACTGATAACCATCTTTACTCTGCATGCATTTAATTATAGCAAATGTTTATCTAGTCCTTACTCTGTGCTAGGCACTGCTCTAAGGACTTTATACCCATTGACGATTCTACAGGCTCTCTATCAAATAGGTTTTATTACTGCCTCTACTTTATTGATGAGAAAATTAAGATACAGATAGTTTGAGTATTTTGATAATTAATGGTAAGATCAAGATTTGCCAAACTCTAACATCCATAACTTGATGAGCATGATAACTTGATCCTCCATGATACTGGATCAGACCTGGAAAAGGGTCAACAAACATTTCCCAAGAGCTTTCAGTTCTAGATCCTGGTAGCTTGCTACGAGTGAACCAAACAGATTAAAAATTGACAGCTTGGGCTGGAGAGATGGCTCAGCGGTTAAGAGCACTGACTGCTCTTCCAGAGGTCCCAGGTTCAACTCCCAGCATCCACATGGCAGCTCACAGCTGTCTGTAACTCCTTTCCAGAGGACCCAATACCCTCACACAGATGTACATGAAGGCAAAACATCAATGCACACAAAATAAAAATTAAAAATCTGTCAGCTTAATAGGCGTTACATAATATTGGAGGTAATAATAAATCAACAAAACATAAAGAGTATGATCATTGTTATAGAGAAAATGAAGGCGATAAGGAAGCATTTGCTGTTTTGAATACTGGAGTGACTTGAATAAAGACCAGGTATTTTGAGGAAGAAGAACAGAATATGAGGTCAGAGCATTTGAGAGGGACCAGGTCTTGAAGGCTCTTGTGAGCCAGTGTAGGGCCTTTAGCCTGTGGAAGACAGCCACAGAAGCTTTGGAGAGGAGTGCCATGGTCTGCCCTGCTCTCCAGAAAGCTCTGTGCTGAGACAAATAGCACGGCAAGCAGCAGAGGAAGAGGAATCAAGAGTGACTCCAACACATGCCAGTAATGTCACTAGCTGAGACTGAGATGATTGCTCCAAGTTCAAAGCCAGCCTGGGTCACACACTAAGACTCTGTCAAAAAGAACTAATTCCAGGCTTCTTGCCTGGGCAAACTAGAAGAAGGGAACTTCTGTAAACAGGCCCAGGAAAGGCTATAAGAAAGAACATTTGGGGAAAGAAAGGAAGTTCATTTTCCAGCATATATGTTTTAAGATGCCTATGACACATGTAAGAACAGATGGCCAGGAAGCAGTTCATATCTCCATGTGGATGCTAGCCAATGAGCTTCCCTTACACCTCCCACCCCTTCCTACACAGCACCTTGTCTCTTTCCATCACCCCAGGAGAACCTGGTCTTAATACAGTAGAGAAGGCATGCTGGGCAAGTTTCCATTATTAAAAACCTAATGACAGCGAACAGTTGACAGCAACTGTGGCTCTGAGGCTTCAGGAACTTAATCTGGCTTCCTAAGTACCACTGTCTCTAGCATGCCAGGCAAATTGGGTCTGGAGGATGTTGTCGGTAAGGTGAGCAGTACTTGTTGGGAGGGATGAGCAGGCTGGAGCAGAATCTTTAAGTGGAGCTTAGAAGCAATTAAGACTCAGAACCTGATCCTCAGGTCCCAGGAATGTGACCTAACTGCATCCTGGAAGAGAGAGAAGGAGGTGGGCCTGAAAAGAACGCTCTAGAAGCCAGAAGCTGGATCTCTTGGAAGACCTACAACTCTGGATGCGGAAGGAACCTGGAGACCCTGTCCTGTTTCAGGCACAACCTGAGTCCTGGGCTACTGACTGTTGGGATGTGATATAAAAAACTCAAATGTCTGCCCGGAGCCAGGCTATCTTGAATTCAAACTCTTGTTCTCTTTATTAGCTGTATAAACCTGGGCACCTATTTCTAGTTTCCTCAGCAGTGAAATGGGGGCAGTAAAACATAGGTATCAGAATATGAATTGCTCAATAGGCGTTCAAACACTTGTAAGTCATAAAATGCTGCAAGTCTGTTATATGTTCTTTACATTATTCTGTTCCCAGGGATGAATTTGGCCTCTTCATGGGAGGTCAAGTGTGTCTTGAGACTTGGTGTAGACTCTAGTCATGGAGAAGTACCACATTAGAAAAGATCTGGCTGTAGTGACCCATAGCCAAGCACTGGGCTGAGGCCCTGGAGCTTAGCTGAAGAGAGGGAGGAGGGATCATAAGAGCAAGGGAGTGTCAAGATCATGATGTCACAGAGACAGCTGACCAGAGCTAGTGGGAGCTCGCTGACTCTGGACTGACAGTTGGGGATCCTGCATGGGACAGAACTTAGCCCTCTGAATGTGGGTGACAATTTTATGGCTTGATCTGTTTCTGGGGGAGAGGGGGAAAGTGGGATGGTAGTGGGACCAGGACTTATTCCCAGTGCACGAACCGGCTTTTTGGAGTCCATTCCCTATGGAGGGATACCTTGCTCAGCCTTGATATGGGGGCGGGGCGGGGAGGCGGCTTGGCCCTGTCTCAACTTGATATGCCAGGCTTTGTTGAGTCCTCAAGGGAGGCCTTAACCACTCTGGGGAGTGAATGGAGGGGGGGGGATGGTGGGAGGGAAGGGCAGGAAAATGGGAGGGAGAGAGAACTGGGGCTGGTAAGTAAAAGGAAAATAAAATTAAATAATTTTTTTTAAAAGATCTGGCATGAAACAGCTTCCTGCTCTACTGCTTCAAGCTGGCTTAACTCAAGGGGTTCCCCGGATTTAAGGCTGCCAGGCTTCACCTGACTTCAGTCCAAGCAGGTTTCTGCTTGTCCCTGGACACTGCTGCTGCAGCTGCTGTTGCCACTGCCGCCTAGTGGCTACTTTAGGGCAAGACCTCCCCCAGCCTCCCTTACAGAGGGAACAAAGCCCCACAGCCAGATGCCCTCATCTCTGAGCCGCTTCTTCCTTTTGTTCTCTGTGGTCTGCATTGCTTGGTTTCTGCGATTCCTCTGGACACTCTCGACCCCTTTCCCCATCTCCTTTTGGTCATCCTTCCACCCAATGTGGCTCTTCCCCAAAGCAGACCCCCTCCCTCCCACCTCCCTTCTTTCTTCTTCTCCTTCTCCACCAGCTCTTTCCGACTTCCCCTCTCCAGCTCTCCTCAGAAAGTTACCCTCATGATTTTAACTGCCGTTTAGAAGTTATTGATAATTTTCTTTTATTTTGTTTTAGGACAAGATCTTGTTCTGTAACCCAGGTTTGCCACTCCACCTCCTGGCGCTGTTATTACAATATGCACCACCACACCCAGAAGATGTTATCAGTAATTCTAATAACAGAGACATTCCAGCATAGGGCTTGCGCTCTCTCTCTCTCTCTCTCTCTCTCTCTCTCTCTCTCTCTCTCTCTCTCCTCCCTCTCCCCCTCTCAAATTTCTGTCTCAGAGCTGCAGAAAAAGCTCAGTACTTAGGAGTACTTGTTGCTCTTACAGAGGACCTAAGTTTGAGTCCCAGCACCCACATCTGGCGGTTCACAATCATCTGTAATCCCAGCTCCAAAGGATATGACAATCTTGTCTGCCATTTGTGGGTACCTACTCAGGTGTACACACACACAGTTAAAATAAATACTTAAAGATACTTCTCTCCTCTCCTTCCTTGTCCCTCCATGCACTAGTCATAAATATATTAATGGCAATTTCTCTGAAATGCCCGCTGTTTACTGGGGACTAGAATTGAAAGTGGGGGAAGGATGTTTTCTAATCTCTTTCTATCAGGGTGGAGGAAAGAAGGCAGAGAAGAGAGAAAAGAAAGGAGGGAGGGAAGGAAGAAAGGAAAGAAATAAATGGGAGGTGAGAATACAGTTGAACAACGAAGGCAGACGGTGCTAAGGTTGAAATCCAGTCCTGTAACCTATCAGCTGGCTGGCTGTGAATGGAGCCTCCCTGCTCCTCCACTCCTCCTGAGTGCTGTCAGAATCTGGACTGTCATGAGGAGAAGAGCAGACCATACACATAAGAACTCAGCATAGTATCTGGACAGTGTCATCTGCATCATTGGTAGTATTTTGAGGTTATAGTCAGAGTGTTTTCCTGACGAAGGGAAGTGAGGTCACCTTCTGAAAGTTAAGCCTTGATGGCGAGAAGCAGTAACTGAAACCCTGGATGACCCAAACTTATCGATAAAATCACCTGCAAGTGACTGGTTCCATACAATCACACTCAAGTTAGCTTTGCTCATATATCTTCTCTCTAGTGGGCCTTTAAAATGTGTGTTTGTGTGTGGGGTCAGGCTTTTTTTTTAAAAAAAAAAAAAGGATCTTACCCTGTATCCCAGGTTGGCCTATAACTCACTAAGTAGCCCAGGCTGGTCTTGAACTCAACAGTCCTCCTAGCCCAGCCTCCTCCGAAGTACTAGGATCACAGGCACGTGACACCACACCCAGCTTAGTGAGCCTTTCTGGTCTTTCTAAATGTAGTCATGTAGGTAGTTCCTAGTAGCTGATCCATCATCACCTTTCCATCCTCCCCCACTGAGCCAATGCCCTTGTTCACATCCCACTCAAATCTGTTGATTTGGAAAGAATGTAAGAGCCAGAGAAAGGTGGGGGAGCAGTATGGAACACTGAGTTCCCGGTCTGGCATGACTGCTACAGCCCTGGACTTACTGCAGCTAGAATTACTGTACAAGATCTAAACAGAA